ATTTGAGACAGAGAGAATGAGAGAGACAGAGAGCACATGAGAAGGGGGACGGTCAGAGGGAGAAGCAGGCTCCCTGCCGAGCAGGGAGCCCGACGCGGGACTCGATCCCGGGACTCCAGGATCATGACCTGAGCCGAAGGCAGTCGCTTAACCAACTGAGCCACCCAGGCGCCCCTGTAGTCCATGTCTTGAGCCCCAATTCATATATTAAATAGTTCAACTAATAAATTCTTACTATTTTCAAAGTGTTGAAGAGTTGTTTGTCTAATTCCATGGCAAATATTACATCCTTATAACCTAAGCCAAACCTCTGCCAGGCCCAATCTACTTTATGATCTGTCTATAGAAAAGAACCTTAAGTCAGTCAGGTTTTAGACCTTTTTCCTCAGACTTCATAAAGGGAATGCCTCATATTTATTTATTTTAGAAAAATATTTTATTCATTCATTTGACAGAGAGAGAGAGTGAGAGAGCACAAGCAAGGGGAGCGGCAGAGGGAGAGGGAGATGAGCAGGGAGCCTGATGCAGGGCATGATCCTAGGACCCCGAGATCATGACCCGAGCTGAAGGCAGACACCTAACTGACTGAGCCACCCAGGTGCCCCAGGAATGTCTCATATTTAGAGGACAAGGACATAAAAAGCTTTTCATTGTCATGGCATGTAATGATCAATGATGAAATACATTTAGGAATGTCTCCTCTAAGAGGATTAAGAGACAGGGAGAATTATTAACAGCCCACAGTGAAGAAGTAGCTACATAAAAAATGACTCCCATATTGTTGGTAAATATATTTCCTCCATTTTACACTCTCAAAACAATCCTGAAGATGAGCTTTCCATTCAGGAGGATATGGCCAATGATCACTCAGCTTACCAAACGTCAAACAACTGAATCTGGAACTGCAAGACCAACTAATAAAAGCGTTTGGAGAATATTCGGTTTCTGGGCTTCCCCTATCAAAAACACTTCTGACATTTTCAGAAACAATTTTGAGAATTCTTTTTAATGTCCAAGATAACAGAGTGGCCACCAAGAACCGTAACTCTGAAATCAAATATTTCTTCTCCTTGCTCCCATTTCACAGTTCTATCAAGGAAAGCCTCAAGTCTCCCACTGTAGTTACCAAGGTGCCAAGAACCTATAGCTTTGCAAATTAGCTCTGGATGAAATGAGATTGAGAAAAATTACCAAATAAACACACGTACTGTTGAAGGGAATAAAATCATTCCCATTAGTTTGATGAGCCTTTGGGTGTCAGGGCTCACTATAACATGCACTACAGAAAATCTACCTTTCAGGTGTGAAAGGCTTAGTGCATGCTCTCAGTTATGAAATGCACAGTGAAGCAGTGGCAGCGAGAGCAAAACATGAAGGGGGGTGGGTTCCTCCAACCCCTTGTAAATGAAAGTAATTCAAAATACAGAAAAAGGAGAATAAAAATAAATTCCTGTATACCTACCGCCAACCCACTTTTGTCAAATCATAATATTTTATAGTTGCTTTAGATAAAAAAATAAGAATGAGATACCACAGATTTATTTGATTTCCTGTGTACCCCTACCTGTTGACCCTTCCTTTCTGAGTATATATATATCCATAAACAATATATGGTATATGGTTGTGAACATTTTTGACCTTTAGATAAACGATACACACAGTACATATCTATCTGCACTGTGTTTTTTGTGTTGAACACTGTTTTTCATATTAATCCTTATGGATATATGTAGTTTTAGTTCATTCACTTTTAACTGCCATATAGCATTCCATTGTTCGGATATATCTATCAATTTTCTTTTCATGGACAGGTTTACAGAGAGGCTGTTTCCAATTACATTCTATTATGAACAATGCGGCATCAAAAAAATCCTCACACATCTCTCCTTGTGCACATGAGAATTACTCAAGGGCAGGGGTGGGCCAACTTTCTGTGTAAAGTCAGGTAGTAAATATTCCAGGCTTTGCGGGTTATATGATCTCTGTTGCAACTACTGGACTCTGCTACTACAGTGTGAAAGTAGCTATGGAAATGATCTGACATGGCTATGTTTCAATTAAAATTTTATAAAAACAGGCAGTGGGCAGAATCTGGCACATCAGTTATAGTCTGCAGACCCCTGCACTAAAGTGTATTTATCTAAAAGTGGAGTTGCTCGATCATAGGGTTATGCACATCTCAAACTACTAGACATCGACAAACTATTCTCCAAAAAGGGCTATCTATATCCAGGGGTGCATGGCTGGGTCAGCTGGTAGAGCATGCAACCTTTTTTTTTTTTTTAAAGATTTTATTTATTTATTT